TTCGAATTTATTGGCAGTTGCTGGTGCAAGGAAAAATAAAACAGAGAGCAAACCTGTTAAAGGGATTAAGGATTGCATCCTGAAATGTAGGAAACTTTGGTTATTTTTATTTGAAACAACTGTCAAAAAATACTGGAGAAGGTGTGGCGTTGTCAGAACAAATCTAAATACGACAAAAACGGGAAAGACTACTAGTGATCGCATGGCTGAAGAGAACACCTCAGCGCCGAAGCAAAGGCAGAGGCCACGATCGCCGCCGACACGAACGACCTTCAGGAAAGAGGAGTCGCGGCCCCCACCGCTCGCCGAAACCCGGTCAGCGCCGACACTTTAATTCTCACTTTCGCTCATGCCTATTCTTTACGTGGGTATGGGATGTTCTTGTTACGAATACAGGCAGCTTCAAGAAACCGTAAACAACTCAATTCTATTTTGCACATTTCATCGGTTAGGACGTATTAACTTATTAAAATTTTTGCATTGAGGATAAAAAACCCTTCAAACTTTAGTGGCATGGGGATGATATACCTACACATAGTAAGAAAACTCTTAACTTCTTCTATAAACCAGGTTTCTCATAATGGTCGCAAAGCAAGAAAGACTTTCAGATCACTAATACGTTAGTGACTGAACGGCCCCTTTACGCAAAAGTCTACAATGGCTAAATTATGCCTACCATTAACTAAGTGATCAAAGGTTTACTTTCCTCTTCACAAATTTGATGTTGCCCTGTTATCCAGCAGTTTTGGTACTTTTTGCGAATTTGAAAGGAAAAGCTCTTCTACTTAGAAAACTAAACAACAGCAGTCTTCATCAATGAAGGCAACATTCAGAGCTGGGGCTCAAAATTAAAGTTCTTGCAACATTTAGGATAAAAGAATAAAAGAACGTCTTTGTTTCTTTCATCGAACCGCCAAATATGTTTATGGTGAGCTCTCTAATATTTGTACTCGGATAAATACAACTTGTGATCGGAAATGGAGAAGAGAATTAGAGGGAGGGGGATAAGAATGAGGGAAGTGTTG